ATTTATAATTTTATTGCTTATAATGTGACAAATAAACCAGAAATACCGGTAATAAAAATTGACAGTGAGGAATCTTTTGAATTAGGATTTCCCCACTGACAAACATGCCCAATACGCGTGAACTCAAAATGAACTGAAATGTCGGTGGTTAAACTGCGTAAAATTATTTCCAGTTTTGACATATATCAAATCAACATTCATACAAGATCAATAGTCCATGGATTTCACAGCAAAACGCAAAATTACTTATTTTGCTGTCACAGCTATTTCACGTTCACCCCTCGTTTTATGCAATTGACATTTATTTTTCAAGAATTTTTATCAGAATCACAGCAGACTGCAAGGAAGTCAACTGTTAATACAACTAGGTTTTTGTTATTTTTTCTATTACAAGAAAAAGACCCCTGGGCGTATGCCCGACATGACCTCAATTTCTTTATTGTATCAAAATTGGGGTAGGGCATTTGTCCAGGCATGGGTGCTTACCCGGATAATTATGGTATTTTTAAAATCTTGTTAACACTTTAAAACACTTTAATCACTGAAAATGTCAGCGTTTATGCACATGATGTCTTCTCTCTAATATACTGTAAAGTACATGTACTTTATTTTCACTTGAAATTTATTTTCAGTGTTTTTTCTATAGAGATGAATCAGTGGAAATACCTTTTTTTATATTTTACATTCAACTCATCAAAAATCAGCAAAAATAAACTTCATACATGTACAAAACAATTAAAGGTCTTTGCAGCATAAATTAATTCCAGCTAAAAAAAAATATTTATGGTAGCTGATGATTTTATCACATGACTGTGACACAATGATACTGGGGGGCAGCCTTCCCAGCTGTTATCTGTTTATTGAGACCCCCTAGCTACTAGTAAGATCTCCCACATAGATTTGTTAAATATTATGATAATGGCTGGATTAATTCTGACTGGTATTTAATACCAGCATTTTGATATCTTGAGTATAATCACTAGATTTCAAATTTACAAATTTTCCAGTTCTGTTATAATTTTAAATGCTCAGCAAAATTAATGCACTGTTAATAATTAATTCATTTAAAGTACACATCAACTACGAAAATAACTAAATAAATAAATAAATGTGTGTACATGTGTAGATTAATGATCACTGTCTTCTCACATGTGTGTATATAACGTGTAAGTTATTTAATAATTTAAACTAAATTCAAATTTAAAATGCATATGTGTATGTTTGTTTATTAATGTACCAGTAGGTAGGTATTATCCTAAAAATAGAAATAACGTTGAAATGTGCTAATAAGTATGAATTACATGATCTCAGTAATGTTTCCATAGCAGCAATGGACTCCATCTACGTTTCCATCATGGATGGCATAACTGCAGAGTAATTATCGGAAAATTTAAATGGCCCCCCACTCTGAATATGATAATTAATGATAATATCAGTTTCTTTTTTTCTTTTTCAAGTGTTAAGTGACATCTGCAAGCAGGTATGGCTGATGCTTCATCAGAAAAGTACGAGACCAAGAAGGTAGTAGCTGTAGATTACAGCTCTAAGATACTCAGCGGTTTGTGCATGTTGCACTCAGATGCCTTGCTACATGACGTCACTTTGATAGCAGAGCGCAAACGATTTCAAGCTCATCGTGCAGTTTTAGCAGCTTGCAGCGACTACTTCAAGGCTATGTTCACCAGCGGGATGAGGGAAACTGATCAGAAAGAAGTCGAGTTGAAAGGAATTAGTGCAAAAGGTTTAGGTGATGTGTTGGGGTTTGTGTACAGCGGTGAAATGGATCTGAGTATGGGTAACATACATGATATCTTAGCGACTACAACGCATCTACAGGTAACACCATGCATCAATGTATGCTCTGACTTTCTGGAGTCTGAAGTGAGGATTGATAATTGTTTGTTAATTTATCAGATGGCACAGACCTTTAGTCTCAATAATGTGCAGGCTGTGGCCTACAATTTTCTCATGAAGCATTTCAAAGAGGTGTCCAGATTGGAAGATTTTCTGCAATTACCATTTATGGACTTGAGCACTTTTCTCGGCAGTAATGATATCTGCGGATGCACCGAGTTAGATTTATTCGAGATCGCGTCTGCGTGGATCCATCACTTTGAAGACGATAGATTACAGTTTGCTAAGCCACTAATGGAAGAGATTCGATTTCCTTTAATGAAACCATTTGATCTCGCAAACCAGGTTCGCTCTGTAGATTTTATGTTGGAGGATCCAGACTGCATGAAATTATTATTGGAAGCTTTTACTTATCAATCTATGCCATTTCATCAGCATCAGCAGCAGAGTCCACGTACTATGATACGATCTGCCGAACAGACTCTTGTTACTTTAGGTGGTTATAAAGGAAGACCATCTGAGAAAATGATGGCGTATTGCAACAGTGGTAAACCGGTTGAGATACAACCGATGGCAATGGGTGTATACTACCATAATGTCACTGTCATGGATAACTTTCTTTACTGTGTTGGTGGCCAGAATGTGAAAGACACTGCAGGAAAAGAAGCTGTCAGCTCTGCGTTTCGTTACAACCCCCGTTCTAATGATTGGATGGAGATCGCATCTCTCCAAGAACCCCGTTGTCGGTTTCATCTCAGTGCCCTAAACGGTAAGTTATATGCTGTGGGAGGGAAAAATGCACGTGGACAGGTAAACACAGTGGAGTGTTATACACCTCACGAGAATCGATGGATTTGTGTAGCTCCGCTCGATGATCCACGTAATGCCCATGCAGGAGCAACGTATAGAAACGAGCTATTCGTATCTGGTGGTTGGAGCAATGGCCGATACACGGACAGTCTACAGTCGTACAGTCCTGCGAATAACACATGGCAAAACAGAAGCTGCATGCACACTCGACGTGGATGGCATGGAATGTGTTCCGTCAACAATCGTCTGTACGTGATGGGTGGCAATCATCTAAATTCGAATGGTGACCGTGTAGATGTCTTGACTGTTGAAAGTTATAACCCTATTACCGATCAATGGACTGATCTCTGTTCTCTGATGACACCGCATAGCGAAACCATTCTATCAGTGGTAAATATGAAGATTTACATAGCTGGAGGGTATTCCTGGAATGCACAGGGTAAAACGGATAGAATTGAAAGATATGATCCAGAAACTAACTCATGGGAAATTATTGGTCAACTACAACAGAAAATGAATGGTTTAGCTTGTTGTAGTTTAGTCTTGCCCAAGGAGCTCACTGATAAATGATTCGACTGCAGTGTACATGTTAAATAAATCAAACTATATTAAAATCCTGCATTTTGCCAAAGCATAGGACCAGCAGTTGTAATTGCTGCCTTTTGCAACTGAGTGGCTGACAGTCTGGAGCGCGTCAACATGAGCAATTGACGATGTGTTCTTGATGTATATTTTAACGCACAGGACTTCAATGTGATGCAATCATTGCAGTAAATTTTGACATACAGGAAATTCGTTGAAACGGATTTGTTGAACGTGTTAATCTTGCAAAACTAACAATCATAAAATCTACAATTTCTATTGATTTTTGAACCGTGTGGGAAATCAGGTTTTATTTCCTTTCTCCCTTGTCATTGAGTTCACTGTTCCAAATGCATTGTACCGTGGTTACATTGACCCAACACTATTAAGTGTAAACAAAATTAATCTTTTTGGTTAGTGTGCGGCACAATTTTTCCTTTAGTTATTTTGCAGCTTCACAGCGAATTGATTAAACCTACAAAATTTGTGTGTTGTCAATTATTTTAGCCGCAAGAAAATGTCCCATTTAAAAAAAAAAAAACTACCGGTATGTGAACAGAGATATTATTTTACGTGGTTGAGTGGTTAATGTCATGAATTCATCAAATAGTTTCTATACATTCTCCATGCATAACCAACTAATTTTACAATTTAAGTCGCAAATATTCTCTTAAACAAAATACTTATTATATTTATTTTATTGTGAAAAGATAAAAATGACTGAGAGCATGAACATTGCTGATTAGATTTTTGTGAATATTACATCATTAGATTTATCAATTATCAAAAATGGTTTTGAAAGTTGTGAATAGTGTGAAGTTAATAATAAATAATAACTTTTAAAATGAAAAAAAACATTAGATATACCGGTATATTAATCGTTGTAATAATCATGATAGTGAAATTAACTATTGTTCCCATAGTTACTAATCTCTTTATGTGTCACCCTAACTATGCAAGGTTATAACGGTATTATAAATGTTGTCCATTTTTTTTTCTTTTATAAACTGTGATAAATACTGAAACGCTGCGTGTGTGAATTGGGTATAGTAACATGTGTTGCGCATATGTAAGAGAAATTCCTTACGACAATAAAGTCATTCGTTTCCTGTCTTTATCTTTGATGCTAGGACAAATATGGTTTCCAGATTTAATCATTTATATCTTTATAGCTATGTTGATCTAGAAAAAGTATTTAGACACTGAAATTATGATATATGTAGGTATCCTAACTCTGGAGACTGAGAGTGTATGAATAAATTATGTTCACTAAAATAGTGATAACTTGAGTACTAAGAAGCCCTAAACATGTAAAAAAAATGGATATCTGCAGCCATGATGTCATCACCTTTGAGGCTATGATGTCATCACCCTTGAAGCAATCTTTTAATCTGAATAAGTAACCATAATTTTTTTTTAAATATTTTTATGAAACTTTGATCAAGATCTGCAGTGAATGGAAATTATGTGAAAATTGTGCTTGGAAATTTGGGCTGCGAAGATGAATTCACAATGGGTTCATTCACTGACAGTGGTGAGATAGAAAGAACCAGGTCAACAAGGCATGAAAAGGTTTGCCTTGAAACATGTTTTTTTAGTTCTAAATATTTTTTTAAAATTATTTTGAGCTCTGTGATTCTTACACATGATAACTATGGTGGTGTAGACTTTTATTTTGTTTTCGAATGTGTTACAGATTTACTTTGAATTCATAAAAACTTATACTCTGTACCAGCAATTTGAGTTATTGAATTGACCCATTACTGGTACTGGTAGTTGTGTCAAATGTATATTAATAGGTGTATATAATTGTCTGTTTTAAAATGTAATATATTCAATTGAAAGCATGATTTGTTTTATTATTGCACAAATTTTCTGATTCGATTTACCGTATGTCCCTTTGAAGTAAAATTTTCAAAAATATAATGTATTACGTAATCCTCTGAATGCAGAGGTTCACTTTTATTTGTTACTGCAAAAAATAAATCTAAATATTGTTTCCATATTTCTTGAAAAAGTGTTATCAAGCCCAATATGCAAATTGTGTCCAGTTATTCCGAAATTAACAAAAGTATTATAGAAATATACATGACAAGAATAATTAAGATCTATAATTTTAGATCAATTTGTTTTAGGGGAAGTTTTAAAATTGTTATTAGCTACATTGTTTGTATGCCAGTTTTTTAGTCAGTCTCTGATTGTGAAATGTTATTATTTTTATGAGTTTATTTTTTGGAGTGTGTCTGTGCAAAAATTTACCTTTGGTGTTGGCATGCGTAGTTTACGATTCTAATTACTTTACTAAATTGTGATACATGTATATGCCATATCAGATACCCAGGTCAAGATGGTTGTAAAGGTGCATAGAAAATCCATCTCTAGAAATTGGTAATCGGTGAAAATACCCTTTGCTATGAAAGTAACCCCCCCCCCCTTCCCAACCCTAAAGTAACTCCTTAGGTAAAAATACATTATAATTATTACAATTACCATATCATTTACATTTTAACTTGCTATCATTATTGATATAGATTTTTCCAAAAAAATAGTATGCTATTTCCCTGTGTTGCCACATTAATTTAAATTGTCAATGAGCACCGAGGGCGCTGTTTCACCCTATATTCTAAGTTTTAGGTGATGTGCACCCATAGTGAAGACATCCACATACTTGTCCGCATAGTTTTCTGTCCACTTCCTTGGTTCCTGCTGGGTTTTGGGAAGATATTTTATTTACATTTCACTTTATGTGTGTACATTAGTGAAGCTTGCACTTTTAGTATAAATATTAAATAAATGTTTAAATTTGCAGCAATAATGACACAATATGGCACTCTGTGTAGATTTCTATTAACTTCTTTTCACAAACTGACCTGTTATTTTTTTTCCACATTTTTTCCCTCAAGCAAGGGGAAAAATATATATTCATATGGTCCAAAAGTTGTTATTGAAAAACACGTAAAAATTTTGAAGCAAAAAATGGTGTTCGAAGGAACTTTGCAATATTTTTGATGAAGCAATCTGATTTAAAAAACTGATTTTTCAGAAATTGCGTCCTGTTCGATATGGGACTCATAGCGACGTATACAACGCGTGTAAAATACATTGTTTATTTACATGAAATTCGAACGCGTGCTGCGCGACGACCACCGCGCTTTAACCTTGTTTTCCCCCAATTCTAAAATGCCTTCTATTTCAGAAAATTACTACCCCGGTTCTCGCAATGTTCATTCTTATTTTGTAAAAATCATTGATGTTCGAAAAAAGTTATTGATTACAAGTCAATATATGTATGAAATTCTCATTGGTTCAAGTGCATGCATTAAATTGATAGAAAAAACAAATTAAGACATTTCGTCGCAATCGATTCAATTATGACCCATTAACATTTGAATGTCAGCAACTTGTCTCTTTTCACAAAATAGATCATATTTTTTTTTTTTTTTTTAATAATTACATTGTATGTCCATGTTGTCCACAATTAATATTGACAAAAAACGGTGCTCTAAAATTATAAAATTCAAATGTTAAAGCGAGGGAGTCATCACCTGTGCATGCGTCAGTTGGCCATAGCGTGTCATTGTTTACAAACAAGCATCTACCCATAAGCCTTTGCGTTAGTGTGTGTTGTTATCGACGCTTGGGACTTAATTCCAGCACATGGGCAGGTGACAACCCTCCCGCTTTAAAGAGTGTATGCTTTCCACACTAGCTTTTACTTTAAAACAATCTATCGAAAAAATCATGAGAATTCTAGTTCATAATGTAATCTACACACAAACTGTTGCAAAGACATATTTTATTGATAAGTGAAATTCTATTTTAATTTTGTTCATAAAAATATTATGCAGAGTTCATCCTACCTTTCGATTGTTTTGTGGGTCTTCTTTACATTAGTCTAAGAGATTTTGCCTCCTGCCAGTGGGTGAATGTGACTCATGTTGATTGGCTGATAAATATAGCACACTTCTAATTTGAATATGCTAATTTTCAAGAATGGATGACAGTTGTACGTCCTCTACATGTACTGTATCAACTAACAGTTACCACAGAGAGGAAAGTTTAACAGTTCAGTTCTCTAACTTTTGAATAAATTTACATGATTAATGAGAACGGAGCAACATTTCCATACTATGGTGAACCAACAAATTTTAGGAAAGTAAGAAATTGACACAATAAAACATCAGATTTGCAACACTCTCTTTATCTAATACTGTGTTTTGCACAACACGGACTAGACTTGCACATTATGTTTGATAAATCTATAGAAATGCTTCAGATTTAATCAATTTCTAAAATTAAAACTTATGTAATAATATCGTTGATGGAAATATACTGCCAGTGATATGTACACATTTATTCACCGATTAAAATAGATATTCTATATACCAGTAACAGTTGTCCAAGGTCAATCTATTTATAAGTAAATATCAAATGTGAAGTTATCTATTACTCATTCGAAATAGCTGATATATTTGTAATCTTTAATATTCAAAACAAAGCTAATTATGATCAGTACGGTGAAATACTAGCTACCGGTATTTGCCATGGTTATTGTTACCAACATCATGCTTATATGGTTGTTGCTATGGCAATAACAATTGTTATCAACTTGTTACAAACTATCGTAATTGTTGGACAAATGACATTCCCTAAATGAAAAGTTCCACTCTGTCATCATAGATGACAGTGGAGCTAAGAACAAAGTAAATATTTACTAGTAAGTTAGGGGGTTGATATAGTGGCCATCTTGAATCGGATCATGAAACAAATGTGCATGTCTCACATGATGTACATGTCAAGTTTAAACTTCATTGGTTCTGGCATGTCAGATATTTGGATCATTGGAACTGTATGGCTGCCAGTTTGATCTTGATCCAAAAAATAAAATTCCATTGTGCTTAGTGACTGAAACTCTGTTCTGGAATGGTGAAAGTGTGTGGTTTTGATGCATGTTTCAGCATCAAATCGAGAAACAAATACACATGCATATGTTTGATGTGTGTGTGTGAAGTTCGAAATTGATCGGTCCAAGCATGTGTGAGATATGGACACGCACATTTAAGTCCACATGTCCCCGTTTCTGATATAATAGGACCTAAAACATTTTTTTTTTTCAGCCTAAACAATTCCCTATGTTCAGGAAAGTATCAAGGTACAATAATCCTGATGTACATACCACACTCTGTACATGTATCGTCACCTCACCTTACCTTACTAAAATAAACAACACAACATTGACAACACTTTCGGTTTTTCTAAGTTTATTTCTCATATCAATTTAAATCTTTTCTTTTGAAGTTATAATTCTAGACAAATAACTACAAATCTTGTCAAACATAAAAATTACTATGGAAACACAATAGAAGCTTTCGTTATGATTAAATTTTATTGCACCATACACCATTTTAATAATAATAGATACAGCTTGGTAAATATTCAGCATCTTAGATGTAATCATTAACACCCCATGTGTAATAGATAATGTTACCCACATTTTAAATCAACCAATCATGATCTGACATCAGCATGCCACATTTTAAATCAACCAATCATAATCTGACATCAGCATGTCACATTTTAAATCAACCAATCATAATCTGACATCAGCATTCCACATTGTAAATCAACCAATCATAATCTGACATCAGCATGCCACATTTTAAATCAACCAATCATAATCTGACATCAGCATGCCACATTTTAAATCAACCACTCAAAATCTGACATCAGCATGCCACATTTTAAATCAACCAATCATAATCTGACATCAGCATGCCACATTTTAAATCAACCAATCATAATCTGACATCAGCATGCCACATTTTAAATCAACCAATCAAAATCTGACATCAGCATGCCACATTTTAAATCAACCAATCATAATCTGACATCAGCAAGTTTGAATTTGATTCTGAATATTTTGTACTGTCAGTATTCCCCTCAGTGACCAAGTCTGGTGAAAAGATTCCCTGTTATTTCTGTTGCTCTGATCAAACAAATATTCTGCCAAGTTTGTGTGCTTTGGAGCTATACATTAATGGGTTACAACAAGATGACAGCGTAGGATGAATCTGTCAAAACCAAAATTAGTATTCATTAGACGTGATAAAAAGCGGCAGCCAAGGACTTCTTTTAAAACTCAACAATTGAATTCTCCAAAAAAAACAATTCCCATACAATTTACCCATAGTCCTTTGCTTGAGAATCAAGATGGCTGACTACATAATACTGATGAAAAGTGAATGAAAATCTAGAGAATGAAAAGTGATATAAAAAAAACTGTAAATTGCATTCTCCTACATTTGTGGAGCTTTTTCTTGAGGGGTCATTATGTTGTTTGGCTTATGTTTCCTTTAAAGTCACGGTACATTTCATCTATCCAACAGGGACAAACTGACAAACCTACTCAGAAATTTTGTGATTTTTATATCACACTTTAAAATCAGTCAAGTTGAGTAGGTCAATATGAACATAGTCTTGATAAATGTGAGTATGGAACAAAAACCAAGGCATCATAAAATGACACATTTCAATGATTAAAAGGCAGTGCAGCAAGAGTTTGAATTTCATTGTTAATCTCATCAACTTTCACACATTTTCCAAGACCTGTTTTAGCAATAAACACACAAAAAATACTCCTTGAATAAGCAATCAGAATATTTGTCTCAAAACACATGTGGTCCGAAGTACACAAGTATTAAAGTTAAAAATTAGGCACAAGTGATTACAAATTCCCAAGTATCAGAACTATGGATTTGATCGTCTTTCAGGGCATGTTATCAAACCACATAATTTATTTCAGGTACCACACTACGGATGAAGAGCAGCTGCATTATTATGTTGGCGATAAACAAATTTCATAATTCTGAGTCACAAAAATCAATGGACAAGCATCATTCAAAGCATTGCAGAATATAGCATCTAATAATTATTATATCACAGACTTAATAAAGGGTATTTGTAGCTGTGTGAACAAGAGCAAACATTCTCCTTGTGTGATAGCACAAACGCCGATATTCAGGCTCTAGTATTTGTGTAACATGTCTCCCAGGTGATATACAGTTAGTTTACTATCTGAAACAATCACAGCTGTTAACGATTAAAGAAAATTCTGCCAAAACTTTGATGATTGTTTCCATATTGAGCAATAGTTCTCTATAATGGTCTATACAATCTTCGCTGCACTGCAAAATACTCCACATATTTTAAATTACATTTGTGTGAAAGTGAAGTCTAAATAGATAATATAAATACTTTCAACATTGTATGATGATTAAGTATTAGCCAAATGCATTTATCAGAAAGAAAAAAATACATTAATGTTGGGATGGACAGCAATGGGCGGTATATATTTAATATGAACATTAAGTGTGTAAATCAGGTGCTGCAACAGTTTAGTTTTTGTCTTTACGAACTTGATCCTGACAGTCACGTACAATCTTTATTTAAGCGATCACAAAAGTGCCGAAATTGATTTTGACAATTTTTACCATGGTGGAATCAAAATCTTGCCTAGAGAGTACACTGCTTCAATGCATTCAGTTGGTAAATATACCAATATTATTAATACTATGCTAATATGCAATTTTGCTCGCTCGTAAAACAGCTTCTTCAATGGGAGATGTCTGCACATATTAATAATTTTGCAGGAAATTCATAAAAACACACTATTTATTGAAAGGCATTATCGTTCACAGCTGAATACATCAAAGCTTTGTTCCAAAATCTGTCATTATTTTAAATTAATAAAAATCAGTTTGCTTTAGAACACAGTCATGGTTTGGCTAATATTTAAAACTTGAATTAAAACATGCAGAATCTGTTCATGATTTATAATAGGATCAACCACTATTGTCAAATCGTCAACATTCTAAATAGATATATTTCAAAACGAGATGAAATGCATCTGTTATACTATAATTTCAAACCATATTGACCAAACTGGAATATGGTCTCTGGGGCAAAAGTGTATTTAGTTGACATTGTATTCTGGCAATAAGCATAGAAAAAAAAATACTGAAACAAATTTTTAAACAAAAAAGAAAGCAAAAGCTGATATACTTCAAATCTACATGATGAGAACGGTTTATATGACGTACCCGTTGAAAGCCAGCTACATTTTGTTCATTTCTTTGTTAAACTTGGACCAAATGGACAGAATTTTCCGTTGCTGGTGTTGATCAACATTTTAGAATAAAAATGAATAAAAATATGTGGGTTTAATTTTGTTAAATGGGGGAAAAAGCTGACTTTGGCGCCCAATTGGTCAAAGACAAGTGATAAAAACGCAACAATAAAAGCGAACAGCCATACACTGTGTGGAAAGTGAGGAGTGGAAAAATAAATATCACAGTAAAACAGATCACTTCATCAAGTTTCTTTCATCCAATTGACCAACAGGAAACCATATTTGCTTTATTAGAAGAACCTTTCATAACCCGAATAGCAAAGATACATCTTCAAAAGATGTTATTCTAATGCCCGCTGTGTATCCTGGCAATTTTATTCACTTCTTTTGGAGGAAATATGGTAACATTAAATTATATTTGTCCGCCCTAAATCTGAACTTGGCATATCCCAACAAGCCTAAGTTAAAATCACATGCTTTTATTTCCCTGTAGATGAACCTTAACCCCTGAACCCTGACCCCCATATTTCTTGACATATGCCCACATATGGGTTTCTAAACTGTACAACAAGAAAATCAATTGGAGGGTTTCTGATTACATATTGAATATGCAAAGTAGTTGAGCCGTTTATATACAAAAATATAGACATGGAGTCTTTTCTATTAATCTCTAGAAGATTTTCCTGATCTCATTGGGTTTTCCGATTCCTACAATGATGAGTTTGCCATCACGAAGTCCAACCAGGAAGTGACTGTTCTTGGGAACCACAGTAACAGCATGGATTGGTACGTGTAACGGCATACTTGTCAGAATCTGTAGACTGGAATCAAACAAAATAAATATTACTTTATAAGATTGATTCATACGAGTACCGGTTTTTGACTATACAAAAATTTTAAAATTATGAATGACAGTTTTAGAGCATTTTCCAGGCCTTTCGATAGAAACTGATAACTAAGAATTCTTAAAATTTGTGCCTTGAATAAAATATCAGATTAAAGAACTAAGACTTGACGACTAAAATAGCTCCACTCTCCTGCAAGAGCATTGTGGTGTCAAGTCAAGCAACGCACACCCACAAAAATATAGTCTGGTTTTGGCTGTTTAATGTCAACTTAACTTGGCAGTGTACAAGAAGGATTCAAAAATATCATTTTTTACCAGAAATCACAAAAATATTTGCCAAAAATAGAGAATAAATGATATTGGCACGGAGTGAACAAATCCGATAGAGGTCCACCCAAGGTACCTATATATCAAGTATCAAAGCAATTGAGCTTGTAGTTATTCAAACACAAGTAAAAAATACAAATGTAGATATACACTGACAATCACGTATATGAACAGCTCCACTCTGTCATCTATGATGTCAGCAGTGCTGAATATACACACGACTAAATAGAGAACATAGCAATCAAAATTTGTAAAACTCTGCCCATTTGACAACTTACCTGAAAAAGTTTCTGATGATAAGATTTCCCTGAGTGTCACCAGTAACCAAGTATTCCTTTGTTATGAGCATATCAGAAACGTTGTTTAGAACACGCTCTGACGAAAGATACTTGCCATTTATGCAGTATAGATGAAGCGACAATTTGTCCTGTACACAAAAATTAAACAAACAATCTTTCTTGAATGACAAATTATAGTTTATAGTCAAGATATATTTTATATGATTTGTAAGATATACTATCAAATGTATTGAGCATGTATAATAGGTAAGCAGTAGACAGACAGCTTAGTCTGCCTGTGAGCACGCACGCAGGCAGGCGTGCGAGCGGACGTGCGATCAGGCTGGCGGCCGGGCAGGCAGGCAGGCAGGCAGGCAGGCAGGCAGGCAGGCAGCATGCAGACAGCTAGGTGGGTAGACAGGCACCTAGGTAGATAGGCATGCAGCAAGTAGGCATGCAAGCAGGTAAGTAGGCATGCAAGCAGGTAAGCAAGCAAGCAGCAGGTAGTCAGGTAGGTAGTCAGGTAGGTAGGCAGGTAGGTAGGTAGGTAGGCAGCGAGTAGGCATGCAAGCAGGTAGGCAAGCAAGCAGGTAGGCATAAAGGCAGCAGACAGAAGTGAAAATATATATGTTTTAATCTTGATTTGTGTTTTGGAGCATCAAGTACACTGACAGCGGACTTACCTGGTATTTTGGGGAGGAGTGTTTATTGATTCCTGGAGACCGTTGTTCACAGTACAGTGCTATATGTCCTTCCTCAGACACTGCTAACAGTGGAATAGACATAGGTAATGGATCATCACTCGTCGGTCTCAATGTACGAACATAGTGACCTTTTCGAACAGTGTGTATTATACATGTCCCATCCTAACAACAAATAAAACAGCATTTTGAGTTAGAAACAAGAATTCAAATCTGGGGTGTCATAATGGAAGGAAGCAACTGTTGATGAGGACTATGACTTGTCAGGTGTAAAAAAAACAGGTTGTACTCACCCTGGAAGAGGACGCTGTCATGTCTAATTCAGTACTGATTGCCACACACGTCACTTCATCATCATGACCATATAAGGTCTGTAGTGGTTTATCTACCAGAACACTAGCAACACCGCCCTAAGGTACAAACACAATTCATTTACTGTATAACAAGACATGAATGTCACAGTTCCTGTCATTTAATTATAAAATAATACATGGAACATCTGCAAACAGGTGAATTAATATGTGGGTACAACTCATGAAGTTATTTCATGCCTTGATCATTTTTCCAAAAATTCACTTGTCATTGGGAAAGTGGATTTTCAGTTTCCAGAAAACAACACCAGACTCTGACTCTGACTCACACTGTTTGGAAAGTGAAATTATCAATACCTAGATTACAAACATGAGCAACTTTCACATTATTTCACTCCATTTTGTGCATTGCATAATGGGTAAAATAAGAAGACATCGACATCCAACAAAAACAGCAAACAAAATAAATGAAATGTGTGCCACACATGTGCTTCATGGAGTACAAAATACAGATAGTAGAAACAAGTCCAAAGGTATAACAACCAAATATTATTTTCTCTGTCCCTTCCTAGCAAAACAAGGATTTCATAGTAAAATACAGGCTGTATTTGAGATACTATGAATGGTCACATCAACAAACATATATTCAGTGATGCACACTGGGTAATCTATATACATAATTGTCTTACTTGGTATGTAACTTCCCATATCATACATGTAGTATCTCTGGAGCCTGTTATGAGCTGAGTTCCACAGTTATCCAAAGCCAAGCATGTTACAATGTCTGCAATAAATGAGAAAATAAATATAGAAAACCACAAGTACTCTGGTGAGAAATATACCACACAACTTGCAATCATTATGATTTTCATCAAAATCAAAAAAAGTTGTAACTTCTACCAAATCAAACGTATTACT